TTCAGCAAAGGCAGGACATACGCTGACTTCCATACTTTAGGAATTGTGTTTGTGCTGAGGGAGAGGTTAGAAAGAGAAGTGAGAGGTGGAGCAATACAACCTGCAGCTATCTTTAAAAAGAAAGGTTCCACGTTGTTTCTTAGGATCTAACTTGGTTAAAGCTTCACGAACAATATTTACAGTAAAAGGAGTAAAACTGAAAGTGTTTTCCAGAGCACATTGTTCAGAGTCACAGACTGAGGTGTTCACAGAAGCACTTTGGACTTTGAGAAACTGGAATGAATATTTATCCCACTAGACCAAAACAATGAATAAAGAAAGTATTCTGCACGTTGTTAGTCGTAGCCATGACACGGTCGTCACTGCAGGCTTTCCTTTTTGGTTAGAAAAACTACAAAATGAAACTTATAAAAAACACAGGCCTGAGCAGGAAAAGCCTAAATGGCCTCTTTAACCCCCAGAAACACACTCGCACACGTTTTACCCCCACGCCTCGCTGCCTTCTATGGCCGCATACTTTATCACAAGACCCAGATTTTTACACAGCCCATTCATTGTGTGTCCGGCAATAAACCCCCCCCCCACTCTCTCTGTGCTGATGAGAGGTGGACGGGGTGAGGAGCGTGTGGAGGGGAGAAAGGGTAAGAATGCGTTTCTGCCTTGTTTCAGCTATGTTGTCCTTTATTTCCTGCTGTGTCAGGCCGGTGGAGAACCTCCGCTTCTCTCTACGACTCACATCTTCCTCAAGACTCCTTTCGGGTTAATGCACGGACCAATAGCTCATGTTCTAGATTACTCGCCTCCTTCAGTGAATGGGCGACGTAACCAGAGCGAAAAGAAAAAGTGACAGCAGAGGCAGAAACAGGGTAAAGTGCATGTCTTAGAAATGTTGAAGTATAGAAGAACAAATAATGTTTAAATCACTCGTAGAAAACACATAACTTCCCCCTTGCCTCGTGCCTCAAGTTAAAAAGGGGCATCACAACAATTTGACACCTATAAAAACAAAATGAAACCTGCAAATGGACACGTACACGCTTCCCTTTCACCACGTCTTCATAGAGACTCTCAGGGTTAACGCACGGACCAATTGCTCTCATGTTCTGTCACACGTTTCTCGCCTCCTTCAGTAAATGGGCTACGTAATGTGGAGTTGCGTTGCCGCTGCAGCAGAGCGAAAAGAAAAAGTGACAGCAGAGGCAGAAACAGGGTAAAGTGCATGTCATGGCAAGAAGGAACCCTCTCCATCACGACGGGTGCAGCTACAGCGATAACTGCATCGCTCCCTTTCCTTCTTGTAAATAAACACTTAATCAATAAGAAGCAGAGCGTGATGTCGTTGCAGCCAGCTGGTTGCAGCTTTTCAGATTTCATCATCAAATGTAACGTTGATGCCATTATTGCTCCATGCTATGAATAGATTTACATATTATTATAAAGACGTGCAAAGCAGTAACGTGTGCATGTACGGCGGTGATAACATTTAAATGTTATTGACTTTAAGTTATATTTTTCATTCTGAGGCAAATCCAAATAAATTACAAAAAATATCAACAACAATAAAAATCTTTCACGTGTGAATTGATGATAATCCAACTACATATGAAAAGTAATGTCATTATTAAACTAATGATAAGTAGATATTGTGATGACCAAAAATGTGACTCCTTTCTAAATGTATTTTGTATTTAAACCAGCGTTTCCGCCAGGGGGGCGTCTTGCCGTCATTTGACGACCTTCTTCAGCTCGGAACGCCCTGAACTCGAGCCGAGGGCGTCCAAAAAAAATTATAATTCGAGAGAAGATCGTGAGTTTTTATCGCTTGAAATGACGAAAAGGAAAAAGGACAAGGACATCCCTCTGTTGGAGGCGCAAAGGAGTCTGGTGGGATTATTTTCACTGCCAGCAAAGCGTGTTCCTGTGACGGAAAGTGTACTGCCGGCGAGCCTTGGCGGGGGGTGCTAGTGGAGCACGTGCGTGAACTGCGAGCGCCGGAGCCTCGCAGCGGCGAAACTGAGGCTCCGTGGTAAACTGTGGTAACATGAAGAGCCGCTTAGGAGCCGAAAGAGCCGGCTCTTCTTAGTGAGCCGAGCCAAATGAATTATCCTTGCTGACTCTCATTACCCACTTCTCTATTTTCCAGGCTCAGTGGCATTACATTACATTACATTACATTACATTACATTACATTACATTTCACTTGTTAGACGCTTTTATCCAAAGCGACTTGCATACATTCAGTCCTGAGGACAATCCCCACAGGAGCACTTTGGGGTGAAGTGTCTCAGCGACACAACGACATGCTGACTGCAGTGGGACTCGAACTTGCTATCCTCTGATTCGAAGATCAGCGCACTAACCCACAGGGCACATTTAGGGAAGTACCTCCTGATAAAGAGACTATTAAGTACATTTCAAGCTGATGCCCTCAGATGGCCACTAAATGATAAAAGCGGAGAAACTTTGACCCAAAAAAAGGAAATGTAATACATATTGCAAAAATGTGCTAGTTGCAGTCAAACAGGTGATAATGCTGAACACCACGGCCTTCTCTTAACGCCAACCTCTATATAATTATGTCCCATGACAAGTTATAGAAATAGCAAAGTAGCTTCCCTAGTTTTTATCCTCTAAAGAACTATTTTGTTTTGAGCTCAAGTTTTCCGGTCACATGTTTTTTTATTTCTATAACCCTGAACAATTTGCACAAACTCACAGGATCTCTTTTTTTTAAAAACACCTAAAATATGTTTTTGTATACATCATCCTATATCTATGTGTTTCTGTTTCTGTAGTAGATCGGTCATTTATAGAGTATTCTTATGTATTCTGTATATTTTATTGATCTATCTGTTACATTTGAGCAGTATATAATGAATCAGGAGAAAAGGCTTTATTTGCTACCTCTCAACAACTGAGTCTGTTGTTTAAACTAATGGTTATTCTGCATTTTCAAATGATCGAGCAGAAGAAATAATCTTCATTTTCCTACTTTAAAAAGGCGCAGCAGTAACACACTTCACCATGACAGAGCGTATATGCAGAACCTTAGAAATCACGAAGTATAGAAGGACAAATAATGTTTAAATCAGTCACAGAAAACACATATCACTTCACCCTTACCTCGTGCCTCAAGTTAAAAGGGGCATAACAAGTTTACACCTATAAAAACAACAGTTAAAATGCAAATGTGCCTCGATTTAGACTTATCCCGGGGCTTCTGATTTATTAATGTACATCGTAGGCGCACGAAGGCACAGACATAGTTTGTGCTGTTAAGCTAATATACACTTTATGTGTTACTTTTTATTTATACCCGGGAAGGAGGGGTTAGCATAGTTGTTATTATTTGTTTATGAAGCGCTTTGTGTTGCCTTTAGTGTATGAAATGTTCAATATAAACTAAGTTTGATTGAGTGATTGATTGATGAATGGGAAGTGCAGCATCCATCGCTTTAGGAGTTTGTAGTAGTTTCTATTTCAGGGACAAAGTACTACATCTTGGCCTCTTCCTATTTGACCCGTCCCTCTCAAGTCCTCTAGAAACAAATATATAATGCTTTTACTTCTGAGATAAATGTTGATTCAAGTGGATATCTAACAGTCATGTAAATGTTCAAACCCTATACACTATCGTCCATTCATATGCTCCAAGTTACTGACGTTTGCTGCCAGTATACTTCACCACAATATGAAATAGATAGTACATTTAAAAAGCAGCATATCAAGCAAATTCAAAGACACTGATGTGACCCAGGCTGTGGACCTGCTTGATACAGAAGACTTCAGAGACTGGTTAAGTTGTGAACAAGCAGTGTGTGACATCCCCCGAGGCGTGGACGCTTGTAGGAACATTTTCCGTTAGATGAGCATTAGTAAATTAGTAGCGGCGTTATTCAGGAGCCCGGTTCAGTGTTTTCCATCGCACAGCTAACTCAGCAGTCGACCCTGACCGGAGCTCAGAGGAGGATTAGCCGGAGTGACAGCGTACAAATGAGCATTGAACTGAGCTGTGCACATGTGAGAGAGTCACACTGACCCACTCACACTAACTGTGTTCATTATCACTACTTTGCAATACCCGTGAGATGAGCAAATTACTGAAAAGGCTGCTGATGAAACACGTTTGATTGGTCACATGATATGTAACAATAAATGGATGAAGCTTGTGTTTTTCACAGGAATATCCCTTCAGATGTGGACAAGGCCCCTAGTGGATGCAGGGTTTTAATGATGTCCCAGGTTACTTAACATAAAAACATACATGCATGTTGTTAGTATATGTTTTTAGTAATAATGTTATTTCTAAGACAGATCAATTGATTACACCTATACAGAAATAAAACTTCTAATAGCATGTATATCAAGGCTAAAGGTGCGATTATACCCTTTATGTTTTAGTCTTATAGCTATAGCATGTGTATGATCCTACAGGGGACCATAGTTATGTTGTAATTATGTTTTATCTGTGTTTATTCTGGTTTATTCTTATTATTTATGTATATATGTTTTATTATTAATTTAATCTTATTTTATTTTTTCTTTATTCTTATTTTTCATCTTTTATTAAAAAATAAATGTATTCTTGTTTTATACATTTTTTTCTTATTTTATGGGATTTTTGATATTCTTGTTTAATTCATTCATGTGTGTCATTTTGTACAGTTTTTAGCTGATAGCATGCATCTGTTCCTACAGGGATATGTAGTTGTGTATTTGCAAATCATCCTTGTAAAGATGCCCATTTTGCACTAAAGCCCAAAAAAACATTTACATTTACGTCACACACATTTCATTTAGCTTGTAACTGAATATAGATACCGGTAAAAGCAGTAACGTGACGTCACATACATATAAAATAACACATTAGCTAGCTAAGGGGGTAACCGTTACTAGCTAAGCTACCAAACAAGGTCAAATGCTACATGTTAGCTTGGAGTTAGGTGGTATTTTCTTAGGTTTTCAGGTCAAATAAAAGCATTAATTTAGCTAGGTTTTACCTCTCGCTGATCAGCACCACGTCGGCATCGCTCCAGTGTTTGAACACACACGGCAGGAGCCTCCTTAAGGCGAAGAAGAGACCGGGGAAAACTACGGCGCCACAAGCTAAAACTTGCAACATCCTGCCGTTATATTTCCTCTAATCTGCCCGGAGCCTGGATCTCTCCCTGCGCGAGTGTCGCCCGTTTACACGCGGCGATGAGGCATTTTAATTCGGCCCGTAGGTCGGTCGGTGGTGTGGTGTGTGTGGTTTTTTTCTCTCACCGGGAACAGTCCACCATCCACACACACTGTCACACACACACACCGCTGAGAAGGCTCAGCAGCAGCACCACTGTCGAGCTACCGGGCGAGGAAACACTCCGTACTTTGTAGGGCGGCTGTCAGAATAAAAGCCCTGACCCGGTGACACTTCCGGCGAGAGGGGTCGCTTTTATTTTGAAAGGGTGGCTCCATTACTGACGGGTGCAAACAACGTAAAGGTCTTTGAAGGTGGGATTTTTTATTCCTATTTAATTTTGTATTAAATCATTTTTTCATAATTTATTTATTTCCTATTTCTATTTTTGTATTTATATATTATTTTTTATTTATTGTTTTATTCTTGTGTTATTCATCCATTCTTATTTTATTTTTGTATTCTTATTTTATTCCTTATTTAATTCTAATTAATTTTTTTTTTCATTATTTTTTTATTTTCTATTTAGTTCTATTTTGTATTATTATTTTTTATTTATTGTTTTAATCTTGTGTTTTTGATTCATTCTTATTTATTTTTTTATTAATATTTTAATTGTAATTAATTTTTGTATTCTTGTTTGATTTTGTTATTCTTTTTTATTTTTGTTTCTTGTTTCATATATTATTATTATTATTTGTTATTATTATTATTATTTGTTATTATTATTATTCTTTTTTATTGTTTTCTTTATTCTTGATTTGTACATTGTATTTTATTTTGACGCCATCACGCAGAGTTACGTTTATAAGGAAGTGGGCGGGGCTAAATCTCAACTGGGTTGTAGGTGGCTGTCAAAATAAAAGCCCTGACCCGAAGCCTGAATAAATGAGGCACTTCCGGTGATAGGGAAACATTACACAACGCTTTTATTTTGAAATGGCAGCTCCAACTTTCTTATTTTTTCTTATTTTATTTTGTATTCTTGTTTTATTAATTCTTTCTTATTTTAATTGTAATTATTTTTTAAATTCGTATTTAATTCATATTTAATCCTTCCCTTTTCATTTATCCCTTTTTATTATTATTTTAATTTAAATAGATTATTTGATTCTTATTTAAAAAAGAATATTCTTGTGTTATTCATTTATCCTTATGAATAATAACACATCCTTTAGTGAGGGGTTAAAACCACTTATACATACAGGTTTGTGTTATTCTAATTGATAGTGATTGTAATTATCTTCGTCTAAATATAAACATTATTTTCTGTTATCAACTCTATTTTACTGTAGTGTTCATTGTATTGTAACTAACTAACTAACCATTAAATCTGCATTAAATCCTACCACCTGAGGGCAGTGCAGCATGCACAACACTATTCATGACATTACCAAGGTTGAATGGCTTTATGTGTAGGACCAAGGACAGTGGCTGCCGTTGTCCTGTAAAGGGTTGGGAAGTTATGTAACCTGATTGCATCTGAGCTGACAGAAAAGGCTCCGTTTTAGTTTAACACACACACTTAAGCTCACACACACTATTTTATGAACATATAGGTTCACCTGCTGAATTAAAAACAGAACAAATGAACCAAAGAAAGTGAAAAACCATAAAGCAGATTCAGTGTAGTCCATGTAAACATTTATAAAAAAAAACACATACTTTTAAAAGACTTAAAATTGTCTCAAGAATATTTTGAGTCAAAACTCAAGAATATTTTTAATAATTTATTTATATTATAATAAATAATAGCCTACATTGTTAAGGAATAATTCTTCTAGATATCTAACCTTTTGCTCTGTGACCGGTCAACTTGACTGGCACGAAGGGTAATTGTTGTGGGAACACTGAGGCACTTCTTTATCGGTGTTTGTGGGCTCTCGGATGTGAAATCCTTGAGGCCATGAGTGTCGGACGCAGGTGGCTCAGTGTTTAGTCTACTCCTTCAGAGATGTTGATTTCTCTCTGTGAACCAGTTCAAAGGTCTAGCATAGAGAGAGGTTCTTCAGAATTGACGTGGCAACTCTACCGTGTGGTCAGAACCTCTGACTCTTTGACTTGTGATGTGAATCCTCCGGCCGAATACTCTGAATAAACCCATCAGTGTTTGACATCAAAGCTCCAACTCTCACCGTGTCTCCTTCCTGAGTCGGTGACTCCATGCATTGCTACACAGAAGTTTCCTCCACAAATTGGCGTTGTCGGCAGGATACCAACAGATCTTCAGAGACTGGTAAGTGTGATTTCAAATCTACATTTGGACATTGCCTTACCAGAATCTGTGATTGACGGTATCCTAAAATTATCTGTGAAGCTAAGCGGCTGCGTTTCGTTTTGGTTAATGAACATTTGGGGCTAGTAACCCCAGGGGATCATCCAGGGACTCTGTCTTGGCTGGTTCCCTCTGTGTGTGCTGCTCGGGACGTATGTGCCGTGCAGGCATACACGGAGATGTTTAAAAGGACCTTAATGAGGGCAGCAGTAAAGTGGAACTTCTGTTTGAAATCAAAATAGAGATTTGTAATGAACAAATCGCCGAGATTCCGGGGGTTTCAGCGGCCAACACTAGCAGTTAACTAAAGCAGCCAGAGATATTACCCCCAGCGCCTCTAAAAAAAACACGGCTCCAGCTGCGGCTCCGGGGAATGTGTGTAACATACCTCCCCGTATCTGCATGAGCTGGTGAAGTGAACTCAGAGGGAGAAAATCACAGCTTTTGTCTATAACTTTAACTCACACCACCGCCGTCTCTATTAAAAACGAGACGGTTTAAAAGCAGTCTCGTGGCTTGTGGCCGTTTACGACGTGCTGGCCGGTGCGAGGTGCGTGCATTACCTGATGCGACAGGCTCCCTACATTGCTGGAGGAGCTGGTGTCGGTCCGGGGTGCATACATAAAATTATAGGCTAATTGATCATGGGTGGGCAGTGGTATGCAAGTGTAGAGCAAAACTGTGTTTCATCGTTGTGATGAGCATGATGGCAGGTGTATAGGCTGGTCGAGTAGGACTACAGTTAACTGTGTGGTTTCGGATAGAAAGGGTAGAGGAAAAAAAGTCTATGTGCTCCTGATCGGGGGGGCATAGCACCACTAGAACAGGGATAGTGGGGTCGCAAGAGGATAAGCTAGTTATTGCTCTTGGACAGCTGCCAGGCACCGATCTAGGGCTTGTATACAAGGGTGGAGGTACGAGTCAAGGTGCCCCACTGGGTTCCCATTGGGAGAGATCATATCCCTACCCCCTCTGAAACCTCTTTAATCCGGACTAAATTGAGCTGGATGAACTTTGCTGTCACGCTGGTGTTTATTATGAGTTCATGTTTGTTCGTCTAATTGCAGTGTGGTTTTTCTTGTACTAACCGCCGTCTTGTGCATGTTTTGTAACAACTAATAATGAATCAGTCCATAGCCAGGGTAAAATAAACTAAGCTTTAGTTAACTCACCAAAAGTAAATGACTTGAGAAAAATAAATAATATATAGTGTTTTGCAAAGTTCTGGTAGTATAGATGTGCTGCAAATGAAAATAAATAGCAAAAGAGTGTTTTATGTCCTGCATCTGAGTGTGCAGAGGAAATGTAAACAAGGAGCACACTGTTCAGGGTGTGCGCTGTAGGTGTAAGAAGAAGAGAAGATTATATTACTTTTAAGAATACATTCTTAAATTGTATTGCTGGTATGTTAAGATATGTTTGTGACCTTTTATAAACCCTATGCCCCGTCCTGCACCCTGAGACCCTCAGAGGCATCACTGCTGGTCGTAACAGACCTGCCTTGAGGAGGTCAGGGTGGCAAAATCTGTCTGCTGTTTTAGGTCAATGTTGTATTATTTGTTTCATTTATTCTTAAATCTATGTATTGTATGGTAATAATGAAAAAAAAAACGTAATGTATTGAACACATTCCGAAACAAAGCTGATAAGACAGAACTAGACTCAGACATAATACAAATTATTGTTGAAACCTTTTGCGCTGTTGCTGCAAAATGGAAACTTTGTTGATTATCTATTCCAACTGGCCACTGGATTCAGATAATTAATATAAGTTGAAGTTTAATTACAGTTTTAAATATAGTTTAACATTCTTTATTAAACTGCTTCAAATGATTTCTCGTATCAACCAATTGGTCTCCATAGACATTACTAAAATTCTAATAGTTGTTAAACTACTGACAAGTTTTCTGAAACCGAGCTTATGAACAAAAGAGTAAAGGTCGCTGGTTAAGCCAGGATCAATATATTTGTTGACGTTTTCATTACAGTGTGCATAATAAATGTGTTAAATGAATTGAGCAATTCTTTAAAAAGTATAATGTTGCAATCTCTTTACAATAAGTAATTACAGTTAACAAAGAAGTAGAGGTTGTTTTCCAAGGGCCTCTCCTTCACAGCCCTACACTTTAAATCATGAGACTTTCAGATCATAACAGACAGAGATCGGTATCACTTTGTGTTGCAAGCCAAATCCATGTAAAGGTTCTACTTGAGCCCAATTTAAATACCATAAAGAAAGTATTGAACCCAGCTCAAGCTAAATGTCAAATGTATTTAATTAATGTGCAAGTGTTTTGATTTATTTAAAATGTTCTAATCTCAGCTTCTTTCGAGTTCAGTCTAAGCAACAAATTGTTTCTCATAACATTCTCACTGCTGTCCCAAATGTTTTAACCTTGGGCAGACAAGCTGTTCTCACACACACACACACACCCACACACACACACACCACACACACACACACACACACACACACACACACACACACACACACACACACACACACCCACACACACACACACACACCCACACACCCACACACACACACACACACACACACACACACACACACACACACACACACACACACACACACACACACACACACACACACACACACACACACCCACACACCCACACACACACACACACACACACACACACACACACACCCACCCACACACACACACACCCACACACCCACACACACACACACACACACACACACACACACACACACACACACACACACACACACACACACACACACACACACACACACACACACACACACACACACACACACACACACACACCCACACACTTTGGATAAGTAGTCACCTTATCCACATTGTAAATTGTTGCCTTCTTTAAAGTTATTAGTAATTTAAGATTAATTATTAAATTAAATGTGGTACATAAGATAAAATAAATAA